CGAGAGCCGCCGCAGCCCATCACTACCAGGAAATCGTGGCCACACCGTATAGTTCAGCAGTTCCCATCACAACGGTAGAGCAGTGGGAGGTACTGCACGAGGCAGATCCCGTCCAGGCTAACGCGGACAACCGCCAGCATCACAGGCAGACCGTGTATCTGGAGGGTAAAGCGGTTCAGGGGCTACGTGACTCAGGAGCCACCATCACCCTGGTAAAAGTCACCTGGTCTCAGACCAAGCTAAACTTAGTAAGACTGTGGCCGTCAGGGTAGCCGGGGGAGCAGTATACCGGCTACCCACAGCAAGGGTACATTTGCATTGGGGAGCGGGGGCAGGGCATGTGGAGGTGGGGTTGATGCCGCAGTTACCGGCGGAGGTTTTATTAGGGAACGATCTGGGGAGGCTCACATCTGCTTTTGAGCCCCAGACACCCACCACAGGAGAAGCTCACCCTGTGGTCACTCGACAACAGGCCCGCACCCAGGACTACAACACACTCCCGGAGGTCCAGGTAAGAGATCCTTCCCCTTCCCCTGACTGTGTTCCCTGGGCCCCTCCTAACGAATTTGCAGCTGAGGTAGTGACGGACCCCACCTTGCAGGTGTATAGGGACAAGGTGACAGCAGACACGCCTGGGGGGGAGGGCGAAAGGTTTATTTGGGACAACCAGCTGTTATATCGGGAGACGGATAAGCAGGTATCCGGGTCAGACCCGATTGTGATGAGGCAGTTAGTGGTACCTCAGCGGTACCGGGCGGAGTTACTACGGATAGCTCACGACATTCCGCTATCTGGACATTTAGGGGTCAGCAGGACCCGATACAGGTTAACCCAAAGCTTCTTTTGGCCTGGAATTAGCCAGGAGGTGCGCAGGTATTGCAACACGTGCGATACCTGCCAAAGGGTGGGGAAAAGGGGGGACCGGCGCAAGGCCAAGTTACATCCCCTCCCCATAATCGAGGAACCCTTTAGCAGGGTAGCAGTTGACATAATAGGACCCCTCAACAAAGCAAGCCCGTCAGGTAAAAGATTTATCCTGACCGTAGTAGATTATGCCACTAGATATCCAGAGGCGGTGGGCCTGACGAATATACAGGCTGAGACAGTAGCGGAAGCCCTGATGAAGATATTCTCCCGGGTGGGACTCCCCAGGGAGATTGTCTCCGATCAGGGCACCCAGTTCACCGCCGAGGTCACGCAGCGCCTCTGGAAGTTTTGTGACATTAAGCCGGTCATTAGTTCCCCTTACCACCCCCAGACGAATGGGCTCTGCGAACGTTTCAACGGTACATTGAAACAAATGCTCCGAACCTTCGCAGAGACCCACAAGGACTGGGAGAAGTTCCTGCCGCACCTCCTCTTTGCTTACCGGGAGGTGCCGCAGGAGTCCACTGGGTTCTCCCCATTTGAACTACTGTTTGGCCGCAGGGTACGAGGCCCTTTAGATTTGATCAGAGAGCATTGGGAGGGAGAACGGAGCACTGACGGTACCCCCATCATACCCTATGTGTTGGCATTCCGAGACCGCCTTGAGGCCTTAACTCAGACGGTACGCGAAAATTTGCAGGCGGCTCAGACACGCCAACACACATGGTATGATCGGGGCGCCAGGGACCGTAGCTTTCAGGTCGGGCAGAAGGTGTTAATCTTAAAACCTGTCCGACACGATAAGCTGCAGGCCGCCTGGCAGGGCCCTTATAAGGTGGTGGAACAACGGTGTGACACCACTTATATAATCGGCTCGTGCGTTGGTACTGGGGGGCGACGCATGCTCCATATGAACATGATGAAGCCCTACCAGGAGCGCTCGGAGGAAGTGACCGCTATATGTGCGCCGAACTCCGAAGAGTTTGACAGTTTACCTCTCCCGGATCTGCTGGGAGAGGGTCAGTTATCCGGGGACTTAGGGGAGGTCACCCTGGGGGAGCGGTTGAGCCCACAGGAGCGGAGCGAGGTACAACAGCTGTTGAGGGAGAAGCAGGATATCTTCTCTAATGTACCTGGTTACACTCCTCTGGCCACTCACGGAGTAGACACCCCAGGGCAACTTCCCATGCGTCAGACCCCGTACCGCATCCCAGAAGCGGTACGGGCGAACATGCGCAAGGAGATAGATGAGATGCTCCAGCTGGGGGTGATTGAGCCCTCTGACAGCCCCTGGGCATCTCCGGTAGTACTAGTACCAAAGCGGGACGGCACGACCCGGTTTTGTGTAGACTACCGGAGATTAAATGAGAAGACGGTATCGGACGCCTATCCTATACCCAGGATAGACGAACTCCTGCATTGGATGGCGAGGGGGCACTATCTCACCACAATTGACTTGTGTAAAGGGTATTGGCAAATACCCTTGGCACAAGACGCCATCCCTAAGTCGGCCTTTGTCACCCCATTCGGCTTGTACCAATTTAAGGTCATGCCGTTTGGGATGAAAAACGCCCGGCTACTTTTCAGCGGATGGTGGACCGCCTCCTAGATGGGTTCCAGGATTATACCTGCGCATACCTCGACAATATTGCCATCTTCAGCAATACCTGGCAGGAACACCTGACCCATATAGGAGCGGTCCTAGATAGGATTAGGGCCGCTGGTTTAACGCTGAAACCAGCCAAATGCAGCATAGGAATGGCTGAAGTACAGTACCTAGGTCATCGGGTAGGATGCGGCAAGCAAAAGCCGGAACCAGCCAAAGTAGAGGCGGTAGCTCAATGGCCCACCCCTAGGACTAAGACCCAGGTGTTAGCGTTCTTAGGAACGGCCGGATACTACCGGAAATTTGTCCCGAATTACAGTGCCCTGGCCAAACCTCTCACCGACTTGACCCGTAAAAACCTACCCCGCCAAGTAACCTGGACCCCGGAGTGTGAACAGGCATTTCAGTTGTTAAAAGATGCATTGACAAATGCCCCTGTCTTGGCAGCTCCCAATCCAACTAAACGTTTCTTGTCCACACAGACGCTTCTATGTTTGGATTGGGAGCAGTATTAAGCCAAGTTGGGGCCGATGGCGGAGAACATCCCGTGGCTTACATCAGCCGGAAACTGTTACCTCGAGAAGTAAGCTACGCCGCCATCGAGAAAGAATGCCTGGCTGTGGTGTGGGCCCTGAAGAAATTACAGCCATATTTGTACGGACAAGCTTTTTCCCTGCTCACAGATCACAACCCGTTAGTATGGCTAAACCGGGTGGCTGGGGACAATGCCCGGCTGCTGCGCTGGAGTCTGGCACTGCAGCCCTTTGACTTTAATATCCAGTACCGCCCGGGTAAACAGAATGGAAATGCTGATGGGTTGTCTCGACAAACTGACCTAGAGAAATGATCCGTGGGCCTCCCCGGACATCCCCAAGCCGATCCGTGTTGGATCAGACTGTGTATGCCGGCTTGTGGGCAAGGGGGAGCAGTGTAGCAGATGGCACCAGGCGACCCTACAAAAAATACTGTATAAAGCTGCATACGTGTATCTGCTGTAATTTCTGTGTATTTAAGAAGAATTGTATTCCTCTGATTGTTCGGTAGTTTCATTCCCTTAGTTTATTCGAATGAAACTACCGAACAACCAGACCTCCCTGTGTGAAGTGTGTCCTCAATTACCCGTTGCAACATTGTTGCGAACGGGTAATTGAACAGTAAGTAGCCGTCCTTTGTTCTCGGGGGTGGCCGCCATTCGACAAACGAACACGTGGCGGCGGCCATTTTAAAACTCCCGAACAGCGGTGTTTTGCCGTTGAGTGCCTGGAACTAAAATCGGACACTCGAGTAGGCGAACACCGCTGAGACCTCCACAGCCCTGGTCCGTTCGGTTCCAAACTACCGAACGGCCCCTCGTTCGGTAAATAGAAAATACCGAACGAGGGGATTCAGGCGAACCCTCCCTAGCCTCTATAGCTAGAGGTTTTCGTGTATTTAATTCCCTTATGCCAGGACCGACCGCAGGGCCCATTCGCATGGAACCTCATTCGGCTATCTCAGTTAGTGCGGTCGGTCATTTTATTCCCTCCATACATTTCCCGAACCCCTGGTCCGATCTGGGTGATTTTTGGATATGTTGTTCACCCAGATCAGGGCTATCAGGGGGTGTAGGATTTAAAGGGGTACCCCTACGTTTAGAGGTACATCCAGAAACGGGGGGAATTGGTGTGCTGGATAAGGGGATTATGATGCTGGCTGAGGGGAGGGGATGTGTGGGAGGTTACCAGGACAGGATTGGCTACTGTAATAATTACTGTAAGTTCCTCCCTTGCATGGGAGCATGCTTTATAAAGAGACTGTGATTAAAGGCTTGTCAGTTATGCTCCTGAAACTGTGTGTCGTCCAGTTATTGGGATTGCTGTTGGGATATTGCTGTATTTTACCTGCTGGAAACCCTGCCTTTGGATTTACTATTTACTTGTTCCTGAGTCTCACTTGGATTATAAGCGGAGAGAACCTGGGTAATATTGCATCTCCGCTACAGTGGAGATGGCATTTAAATGCAAGTATGCATTTATGTGTAGTGTTGGTTTATGAATGCACTGGTGTGTTTATATATAATTTTGTTGTTTAAAAAAAGAAGTGTCTTATATGTAGTGTTGAAGTTTGAATGCAGGTGTGTATTTGTGTTGAATGCTGAGATGTATGCACAAATACACATGCACTGTCTCAAACACACACACACACACACTGTGATACACATACACACACAGAAACACTTGCAGATACACCGATATACACAATCATACAGATGCAGCTATAGACACATTTACACACACATACAGACACACAACCTGGCACACATGCAGACACACAGATGTACACACTGACACACACAGATACACTGACAACATACAGATACACAGTGTAAAATCTGGTTGGAACGTCAATGTTAATGTTAAATCTGCCGATAAGGTCCACCCATAAGTCGACCTATGTTTGTTCACAGGAAATGGAGTCCATGTTCGTTCACAGGAAGTGGAGTGTGTAGGGGATGTGTTATGGTAGAGGATCTAATGTGTGTGCTTATGGAATGTAGTGTATAGGGATACCAGTTTGTGTAGGTGATGCAGTGTATTTGTGTGTAGTGGAAGCAGCGTGTTTTTGTGTAAGGGATAGAAAGCAGTGTGTGTTTGTGTATTTCTCGTTGTGTGTTTCTCGTTGTGTGTAAGGGATGCATTGTGTGAATCTGTGTTTGTATGCATAAGGGATGCAAAGTGTGTTTCTGTGTATGTAAGGGATGCAGTGTGTGTGTGTCTGTAAGGGGTGCGTTGAGTGTGTGTAAGAGATGCATTGTGTTTCTGTGTGTGTGTAAGAGAAGCAATGTGTGTTTGCATGTGTGTGTAAGTGATGCATTGTGTGTTTGTGTGTGTGTGCAAAGGATGCATTGTCTTTATGTGTTAAGGTTGCATTGTGTGTGTAATGGATGCATTGTGTGTTTCTCTGTGTGTAAGGGAAGCATGTAATCTTCTCCACTCCCCCCCCCCCCTGTAATCTTCTCTTTCCTCCCCACTCCCTGTAATCTTCTCTTCTTCTCCCAACCCCCGCCTTCTCCTCACCTCCCTTTCCCTGTAGCATGGCCTAGCTCCTCTCCGGTCCACGGTACAGGAGCTTCTGTTTCCTGTACACGGCCGGACTGATAGGAAGTGCACACTGAGTGTGCACTTCGTGTCAGTCCGGCCAGGACCGCGGACCGGAGAGGATGCTCGGCTACGCTACAGGAAGGGGAGGTCAGGAGAGAGGCAGTGCGGCAGCCGCCTGAGCGCTCTCTACAGAGCGCTCAGGTGGCTGCAGTATTTAAAGGGCCCGCAATGGGGGTGCAGGGCGACCCCTCCTATATGGCGCCCTAGGCAGCTGCCTAGTTCGCCTTATAGGAAGCGCCGGCCCTGGGTATACACAGTGGCGTACTAAGGGGGGGGGCGGTCCGCCCCGGGTGCCAGCCGGGTGGGGGGTGCCATGGCCAGCCCCACCGCCCCCCC